GCCCCCGGCTGGTGGCCAGGACTGTGAGCCGGGAGCATGGCAGGGCGTGTGGTTTTTGGAAGCAAGGCCGCGGGGCGGGCGGCGCGGGGCAGCCTTTACCTGTTGCATTCCTCCACCAGCGTCTCGCGTGTGGTTCTTTTGGCGGTCGTAGGCTTTGTACAAGATTTGCTGGGAGGCCGGCCCCCACTTGAACCGATTGCGACGCAACTTCTTGCTGGGGGTTTCGGAGCAGGCGTCGTCGAGCTGGGCAGCCCCTTGGTTCTGCTGATTGAACTCTGGAAAGAGAAACAGCAGCTGATCCTGACTGCTTTTGCCTGTCCTATTTCCACAACCCTGGACTGTCTGGTTGAACTCTGAAAGAGAAAGGAGCAGACGTGAGCTGGCCTATGGCCACCGCTCCCAGGCACCGTCCCGCGCGGAGGTGGCACCCGCAGCACCCCGAGCCCACCACCCTGGCACTCTTTGGCGCAAACCCCGTGCCCCCCGCCACTCGCCCCAGGGATGGGGCCAGCCTTGCACCCATCCCTCGGGGCTGGTGTTTAGGGGGCAGGCGATGCTCAGGGCTCGCGCGGATCCCAGGGCAGGGTCCCTGCCAGCGCACTAATTTCAGGAGGATTTTTGCAAGCTGGAAGCCAGGCAGGGTGACTGCAAAGCCCCCCAAGAAGGTGCCTCTCTCTGCTCGCCCAGCGCGGCGGCACGCCAGCCCCGCGCCCAGGCACGCAGGCACCAGAGGTGACCTTCCCCGGCGGCCTGCCTCAGACCGGCAGTAAAGGGAGATTACTGGGAGGGTTTTATTATTCCCAGTTTTGCAGGGGAATTCTCCCTATTTTAAAATGGCTTTTCCCCCCGCGACAAGGGGGAACGCAGGGCAAGGCTGGAGCGGGCTCCGTTTGCTCTGACATCCCAAGGTGTGTTTTCATAGTGATGGTATTTGGTGCTCAACCCTTTTCTGCACTTCCCATCCGCTGGATAGCGCAGCCTTCAGCAGGAGGGAGGCAGAGTAAGGGGGTGTCAGCACCCCAACCTGCAGCTCAGCCCAAAACGGGGCTGCTTCGAGCGATACTGGCCCGACCCCGGGGCAGGAGTCGGTGGGAGCGCTGCACAAAAGCAACAATCTGTGTACTTGCTCAAAACCATCTGCGCTTTAAACAGCACGAGCTGCCCCAAAACCGTGCTACGGATAGGGGCGATTTACGGGTTTTTTCTTTTCTCTCTACTTTTTTTGCAAGTAGCTGCGGAACACGAGCAGCCTGGAGAAGCAGAGGGGAAAAGGCATCTCGTGTGTGATCATTAATTGCCTTCCCACCTCCAACGAATATAAATACACAGACACTCAGCCGTGTGGATGCGCTCGGGGGAACACGCGCAGCGTCGCTGTGACCGAGAGGGGCTCTCGCCCCGTTTTCCTGTGCCGTAAAGTCATTTTACTTCTAAAAATATTTTGGGGCAGATGGCAGGCAGCCTGGGTCAGGGGCAAAGCCAGGGGTGATTCCCAGGCAGCCGCAGCGGGGGCTCTGCCAGGGAAGAGGGCAGGGGGCTGCTTCTGGATGTGCTGGATACCAGGATGGGGACGCGGGGACCCCCTCTCCCCCCTGCCAGCCCCCGAGGGAGGGCGAGCGCTGGCGCGGGTACTTACGCCGGAGGATCTCCCGCTGCTTGCAGACGTACCACGCGTAGAGGGCAGCTCGTTTCCGCGTCTTCATGGGGGTGCCCTTGTTGAGGTGCTGGGAGAGGTGCGACTGGTTGAGGCCGGTGACGTCCACCACCTCCCGCTGCGGGATGTTGTGCTGCTGCATGTACCCCTTGATCATCTTCGCCGCCCGCCACGGGTCCTCACTGAGGGGGGAGGGAAACGAAGGGTTAATCTCTGCTGGAGGTGGGGAAATCACCCAGTATTTGCTTCTTCCCATGATGGAAACCCATTATTATTATTCCAAAACCTGTTTCGGAAGGACACGAGATCCCTTGAGCGTATGTCCTTCCCCGATTGCTGCCCTGACCCCCCAAAACGGGGGAGGCAGGGGCTGGCGGGACAGGGGCTTGTGGGAGAATCCCACACTGGGTATTTCTCTGAATTAACAGAAATCTGTCATCTGGAGGTGCTGTGGATGCTTCTCCTGCCCCCGCTCCCGGGTGCAGTACCCGCACCATGCCCCATGCCCTCGGGCTTGCCGCAGGACCCCCACCTGCCCACCGCACCCCACCCGCCACGCTTGCTGCTTTAGCTTCTCCCTTCCATTCCTGCAGGGATAATTACCTAAAAATCTCAATATTCATTTAAAAGAGACCCGATTGCCCCAACAATCGAGGCGCACACACGGGCCACACGCGAAACGCCGAGAAGCGAAGGTCAGACCAGGCACACAAAGCCAAGCAACTCCCCGAACGGGAAACCAAAACCAACCCTCACTCCCAACAATTTTAAGTCATTCTTCGATATTTTTAAAGACTTGAATTTGGCTCCCGCAAGATCCAGGTGTAAAACGAGTTTTTCCTAAATCCACATTATTTCGGTGTCCTTCAGGTAGCTGACACCAGTCTAGGAAACAAATAAAATCACAGCCAAAAATCGAAACGCTGTCTGCGGTCTTTAGCGCCAACGAAAGCCCAACGCGACGGCAGAGGAACGGGCCGATACCCCTTCGCTGCGCTCCGGACCCCTGGCTTTATCCGGCACGACAGGAGGACGCTGGACTAAAAGGAAGTTCTTAAACTCCGAAAAAATTGGTGTGGAGCCTGACCCTGGTCACAGTCCTGCACTCAAATAATGCGATACTCTAACGCCGCGCTTGGAATAACCGTCCCACTGCTTTCCCAATTCATTACTTATTTCGGATCCTTCAACTTGTCAGAGGTTAAAAAAAAAAAAAAAACAACTAGATTTCTTACTTTTTGTCCCGAATGCAGCGTGAAAACAAAGCTGGTTGGATCCGAAGCAAAAGTAGCCAAGCAGGGCCACCGCTGATGGCGGCGGGGGCTTGTCAGACCCTGGGAAGGAGGCACGGAGCCATTCCAGAGATGTTGTCCCTGTGCCCAACCTGGCATCCTCTGGGCAGAGGAACCCCACCGCATATACGGGGTCCTCTATACGGCGACGGTCCCACGGCCCTGTGGAGCCGTATGGATGCACGGGCATACGGACGCGCTGACTCCAGTTTTCCCAACAGCCCGGACCCCTGTCCGGGTTAAGCGTGGTGTGAACAGAAAAGCCCGCTCCTGGCCCCAAACCACGCGGCAGCGTGTGGCCGGGCCATCGGCTCAGCGCTCCCCGCAGCAAACGGGGGTGCCGACAGCAGGCAGGGGCACTTCGCTGCCAGGCACCGGCTGGCGGCGTGGGGAAACCAGTTGGCACCAGGTCACGGCACAGAGGGGTTTGGGGCTCTGGGGTCTTCGTGGTGCCCCAGGAGAAGCCGGGAGCCAAGAAGAAGGATGTGAAGAAAACGTCCTTCCAGTGCCGCTCTCCTCCGCGCGCTCCTTCCCGGCGAAGCCACCGGCCGCCGTGCCGACCGCGGCTCTCGCCACGCTCAAGCCGAGGGGCTCACACAGACTTATGTCACAAGCGGTTCGTGCCACCTAACTGATCCTACTAATTACTGATTACTAATAAGTTAATGGAACAGAGCTCGTTATGGTTCCTAATGGCAGGTTGGTTCACAACGCAGCCAAGGGCATCGTTTTCCCAGAGCTAAATCTCGAGGCAGTGCAATGGAGCACACTTTAAAATGTCAAACGAGTGACTCGGGGGGGTTACAGACGTGATTTCTGAATTTAAATAAAATTTGGCAGTGTTTTGGCTGGAAAAAAATCTGTGAGAATCAGGAAAAAAAAAAATCCCAAAGTTTCCCCTCATTTTATTATTTTAAGAAAGGCTTCACCTTGATATTCCCAGCGTGTTTCACACTTACACTTTCAAAACAATTATTGGGCTCTTAATTTCTCAGCAGTGATTTTCTTTACAAATCAACTCGACCGTATTCAAAAGGGTTAAACAACCTGAAACCAAACCCAAACATTTTGTTTCATGTTAAACAAAATGTTTGGACTTGACCCAATATGAAACGTTTGAGTGTTTGTTTGGCCTTTTTTTTTTTTTCTTTTTCGGTTAACCTAAAAAGCCAGAGAGGAAAACCTTTTGATTCAACACAAGCCCATTTTTTTCGGTTCTGTCACCGAAATGAAAAAAAAAAAAACACATTAATTGTCCAATCTTCACCAGGACTTTACATGAAAAAAAAAAAACAACAACCCAACCCCACAGAGGAGTGCTTTGTAATACTGGAAAACCAGTTTACAGCCCAGGCTCCACGGTCCTTCTCCACCAAAATCAAGGAAAGGTGTTTTTTTCTTGTACAAAATTAACCCAACAAAGCTCGGTCAATGCTGGCACCTGGGAAAAAGGCATTTCCCACCCCAGGCTCAGGCACAAGCTGGGGGCAAATCCCTGTCCCTCTCCCCAGGGATCCTCGGACCCGCTCACCCCCTTTGTCAGCCTTGAAAACAGGTAAATACACTCCACATCCTGGGAGAAAAATGCCAAGAATTTATACAGATGGATTATAACCCCGGCTCCCTACAGAAATGATCTATCTAATCTGCATCTCCCTGTGCACACAGGGCATCGGCGCGGGGAGGTGGGCTCACCCGCCGCCAAAAAAAAGCCGCTTTGGGTCATCTCCGGCCGGGTTCCCGAGGGCGGGTGGCTTTCCCGCGGTCCTCAGGCCCATGGGATCTGGGTGCTACCGGGATACATTACTGGGGTCTGGGCGAGCCCTGGCAGGTGGGACGGGGCAGGGAGGGAACCACGGGGTGTCTCGTCCCGGAGCTGGGCTCTGCGTGCCATGGCAACCCTTGGGCGAGAAACCGCCGTGCCGGCGTCGGGGCCATCGTGCCCGCGGTGCGGCGGTCTCTCCTCTCCCGCTCGATCAGCTGAAGCCCTTTGGGTACCATGAACAGGCCCAAGGGAAGGCGCTGCTTGCCGAGGGGCCGCGGCCGAGGCGAACCGCTCG